TAATTTATATTTGGTTTAATAATATAATTTTCTTATAAACATAATAATTAATTATTTTGTTGGAACTCGTTAATTATCCTAATTATATTTCAAATTTTTTATATTTTAAAAACTAGATGTTTATCCTCTATTTGATTATGTTTATTTGCAGTTAGTTACACGAATTCAAACATGAAGCTATAATAAGTTGTACTTATGCATAATTACTTGTAATCTTGAATTTTAACTAATATGAATCAATATACAGTATTTGATGCATAAAAATGATTTTTAAGAGTTTTTATCAAATATTTTATAATATAATATAGATTTTGTTTCTAATTTACTTATTATATATTTAGTATGATAATATCTTAATTACGAATTTATCCTTGACATGAATGCTATGATAATTTCAACAAAACCGAACCATGTTACTGATTGGATAATTGATCCAATTATCAGTTCATTTGATACCTAACTCTCGATTACTAATCGTACGTATATCAGACATCTTATTTTTGTTCCATTTAAATGAAATTTACCGACATAAATGGTTGATATGAAGCACGATTATAAAAAAGAAAAAACCATATAATAATTAATTCAAAGGTCACCATCAAATTTGGTACTTTCACGATTCATCTCAAGACTATATCCTTTGGATTATTACACGTGTTCTTAATTCTTATCCTTCAACATGCTTTCACTTTCGGCTAAATAGCCTCCCAACCTTCAACCTATCACTCTCCCTTTTTTTTTTTTAATCCTAATTATGCTTTTTTAACCATCTACAATTTCACCATTTTATTTTCAAAATTCAAGTTGTTTAATTTTGTATTATTTTTATAAAGAAAGACATCAATATAATAAAACCAACCGAGAACAAACGAGTCCGACAAAACAAAAACGAACCCGTCATCTACAAGGCGTAGACAGACAGGAGGCTATTTAGCCGTCACTAAGCCACCAAATATAACCATCACCCTTACCAGAAAAAAAGGGCTAACATTCCTAACGAGAACCTCCAACTCACACCACTCCCCCAAATGCCAACCTCAAGGATTAAAACGCCAACTCTCATACCACCCCCAGCTCCGTTATATTATTATTATTATTATTATCCACGTTTTAATGTTAATAACATTCTGTAAATGGCACTTGTGTTACCAGAAGAGCCCAAACTTTTCGATGATCAATGATTCAAGTTTCACAAAGAAGCAAAAAGTGTGTAAAAGAAGACACGAGTCATATGTATCATATCACCTGGGAAAATGTAACACCCCTAAAATTCATAATCCGAATCGCTGAGAGCCCAGAGCAAAAATAAAATTTATCCAACAAAAGGAATAATATGGCGGTTACAATCCGGCTAATCGAGAAGATAAATAACAACCTATTAATCTAGAACATTCCAAATCTAGATTAAAGACGGGGGTTTCTATCAGTCTCCAACAAAGTCGAAATATCCAAACTGCATCACGCGAGAGAATTAAAGGCTAAAATTACAAAGAGTATTTCGACGAACCAACGCTCCTCTCATCCCTTAGAGCCCCACCGCTAAAGGAACCTAAAAGTAAATATAACAAGAAAGAGAGAGGGTTAGGCTTACGCCTA